GCTCCAGCTGCCCTGCTGTCTCAGTGTGGTTCTAGCTGCTGGCTCCATCCTACCTTCAGAAAGGCTCAGTCACTGCCTTTCACGCCTGTGAGCAGCGTTGCTTCGGAGGTGCTGTTTCTCTGACGGGCTGGCTGATGAAACCGGGGCCAGGCACTGGCCAGGGTTCAGGGCTCTGCTCTTGGCTCCACCGCGGGCTCGCTGGGTGGCCCCGGGCAGGTCACTTCACCAGGGTGTGAAGTGTGTGCCCAGCCCTTCGAGGTAGGAACAGGGTCTTACTGTGTGGCTGCAGAGTGCTAAGTACTGAGGGACCTTGATCTCTGCACAGCCTCCATGTGCTACTGTAATGTAAATAATAACATGGAGATAAAGATGAGGTCAAGGAACATCTCTTAAACTTGATAATTTTCCCTGATGGGAAGATTTATATTGCTGCTTCTGGCTGGACTGGAATTGCACCAGTTTTTGAAGAGTGTCCAAGTAACCATGCAGAAACACTATACCAAGGAAAAAAAAAAAAGAGTTGTTGAGCTCGCATGCTAACATAAAGCTTGCTACCTTCTAATTTTGTAATCAAAACAAATACCATCCTGTACTGCGCGCGAACAGCAGCAAGGGAGCGAGCCATCCGTTAAATGTTCGGCACTGCCAAAGGAAGTGGCAGAACCGTTAGCTGAAGCAGCAGGCTTACTGGCACAGTGCACATTTCATGGGGCTTTATAGCTTCTTTTAAAATAGTCTCCACCACTGCAGACAGTCTGTGGGCTGCATCAGCTGAGTAGAATGTTATTCTGCTAGTACAGGGAATTATTAACATGTTTTCTCCATGCCAGCTGTCTCTCCACTGACTGACCCATGCAAGCAGCTCAATGAAAGAAAAGTTAAAAAAAAAAAAAAAAATCCTTCCAACTTAGCTGGGTTTTTTTGATGACTGGTTTGGCTGAGGGTTGTGCCAAACCCCATAGCTTTGCTGGATGCCACACTGAGGTTGCAACTTAGCACAAAAAGACAGACTGAAACTCCAGAGAAGCAAGATTTATTTGAGAGTTTGGGTTTGGGATTTGCTTTTAATTATAATCTCAGGCTGGGATGAGTAAGAATGAAGAGAAATGCACAATGTGGGAAGCAGTATACACTCGTCATGTATGACAGTAAAAGGGCGTACTTTGTCATATCAAAACTGTACATGTGCAGCCAGAGGAATCAAGAACAGCTTCTGTTACTTGAACATTACAAGTCTGAGGGACAGGATAAGTAGTAATTAAAAAATTTAAATTGAAGAAGTTATTACTCCACGGCTAAAAAGTCCAACTTTAGGCCCTTACTGGAAGGTGCCAAGCCTGGTTGTGGCAGTCTTTGTTCAAGGCTTATACAGTGATGTCCTGGTACACAGCTGGCTCCTTATAGTTTAAATAATTATTGATACTAATGCATTTTCAGTAGATGCTGAAGTGCTTAGATTACATCTGCATATTTTGATTCTACTTGTAGTTATGAGAAAATTTGTGTGAGCTTGCTTGTTTTTCTTTGTGAGACTGCTTAAGTGTTGTGTTGGACAATTTGTATGGTAAGTTGGGATATCAGATGGTCATGCCTCTTGCTTTCCTCATTTAATAAATGAGGTTTGATAACTAGTACATTTCTCAAAGAGGGCCATGGCCTCTCTGAGTTCAGTGCCCTACACTTTTGGACATTTCCAAAGCATTTGCACCCTCAGCTTCCAGATTCTTCAATCCTGCTTTTTACATTCTTAAAAAGAATATTATTTTGAAGCTTTAGAAGTAAAGGAATGGATGTAGAAATAATTTTTTTAGCTTTAAAAATTAAGGAATAATCTGTTGTCAAAGCAGCTTCCCCATCAAATTATGAGGAAGCTGATAGACCAACGGTTAAAAATGTGCAGTGAGGCATATGCACATTAAAGCTGTATTTATGCCAGGAACAGATACTTCCAGTGCTGCTGAGATAGCCCAGGTAGCTATTCCTGTCTTTCAGCTGCAGGATCTAGCATTTAAATGACAGTGCTGCTAAGAGGTTTGGGGTTTGTAGCCACTTTTGGTTGTAGTAACCAATGATCTGGAGCATGCAAGTTACAGGCGATCAGCTGTCAGAGGACTAGCTGAGTTGGCAGTCATGATTCTGCCCCTCCAACCTTTGGTAATGTTCTTAATTAAAATCCTTTCTGAGTTGTGTCACTGATGACTGTTACATGCCTCTCTTATGTGAACTGTACAAGCCTTGTTTAAGCTTGATGATCAGCATGTGCATGTCCCAGAGAGTTTGCAGACTACCTGGGTGGAGCAGATGAAGACAGAAAGGAACTACTACTATCTCCGTGGTGCAGATGAGGAGCTGTGGTTTGAAGATACTGAATGCCTTGGCTAAGGTCAGAGAAGGAGTCTGGGAGAGGCAGGAGCTAGATCTGTATTTTTTTTGAATTACAGTTCTAGGATTTAATAAAAATTAATTTTTAAAAATGCTTATCAAATTGAGTTTGAGAGGTAGGAGGACATCAAGAGATTAAAATTAAAAGAGAATTGTTGGATTTAACCTGAGGTTATTTAAAGGAAAGACTTAAATTACACTGTGTAGTTTCAAACTTGTGACTGAAATGCTCCATAGCAGTAGGAATTGCTCTCTGTGGGCATTTTATTTCCCGTCAGTCCTTGCATTGGATTCAGTTTGTTAATCAAGATGACAGCAAACAAAATGCTTCAGTGGTGGTCACCAGGGGCCTGCAGTCAGCGTTGCATAGACTTGGATGATGGATGTTGCTCGGAGGCCTTGGGGTCTGAAATCCATGCAGAAAGTTGTCCAGAAGGAGACCGAGTGAAACTTCCAAATTATCTTTTTTCTTTTTAGTTCTGTGTCTGTTCCCCCACCCCTTGATCTGAAGATTGCATTTTGCAGTATTTCAGCCACTGCTGTGAGTTGATGGAAAATCACAAGAAAACAATTCCCCAGTTTCTTCCAAATCTGAAATCCCAAGTAACGTCCTAGTTTTGAAATTCCTTGCCCAGAGGGTGCCAGCATCCCTTTTGGCTGCTCGGTGATCACCCTGCCTGCCAACAGCAGCACGACCAGCACGATCAGATGAGAGAGGGCCTAGGGAGCAGACACTAGTTCTTTTTGAACTGCTAAGCTGGGCTCTTGAGTTATCAAAGAATAGGGACCAGAAACCTGGTTCCTGATCTAAACTTGTGCCATATACATGGCACAAGAAAGTCCTAATGCTGACTGGTTCTTTTCCTGCATCCTTGGAATACAGTGGGTCTCGGGAGTGGATGGTGACAGAGTCATAACTGGTCTTGTCTGCAAACACAAGCAAGTGTACTCACATATGGATTTGTTTTAGGTTTTCAGTAATTTAATTTTCCATAGAAGCAGTATAAAAAAAAAATCAACTATAACTCTAAAAAAAAAAACCCCAAACAAACCCAAATGTGGTTTCTGGAGCCAAGGACACCTGTAAGCCAAGCCAAACTGGTCCATGGCAAGGTGCACCCAGTGGCCGGAGCACTGGGCTGTCCCTCATGTCTGTGGCACCCAGGGCACCAGCTGCTTTATGGTGTGGGTCCCTGTGCCACAACGACACCAGGGTGCTGGATGTTGTCCTAGTTATGGAGCTGCTGGGACAGCAGCTGGCCTCCAAAACGCAAACGCCTCTACTACCTGGGCAGGCCTGAGAAGACTGATTAGTTTAAATATCCCTCTGTGCTGCAGATCTGTTTGTTTGTACACATCTATTTTTGTAAAATTCCTCCAAATTAGGTATGTGTTTACTTTTTGCTGTCATCTAATCAGTAACTCAGAGAGTAAGTTGATGTTCTATATTTAGTCCAGACACTCAGTAAAGATGGCTAGGGATGTATCAAAGAGGAGGTTTTGGGGTTTTTTCCTAGGATGTCTCTCCTTCCTGTATTACTGCAGCTTTTGTCTCTGCTCATGTTTCTCTGTGAAACCAAGAAGCATATGTCAGTGAGAGTATTTGTGTGGCTTTCTGTACATACTTGAAATAATTTGCCTCTAGAAAGTGATTGTGGTCTGTTTGCCATGAGAAGAGTAGTTGCAGTCCTGATGTGAATTGAAATATCAAATGTTTATGGAAGATGACATAGCAAAGCTGTTTACCATATGGTATACAAGACACAGTGATACCCGACCGTTTTCTTCCCCTGCAGTTTGCTGGGGGAAAAGAAGAATACAATAAGCAATTTGTGTATTCTTCTGTATTTCATGTGTGCCTTTAAGAGAGAGCGTGACAGTGATATGGGATATAGTATTAATTATTATTTATATCAGACCTCTATCTTGAGACTTCTGTATGAAACTGAGGGCCCAGTCAGGTACGTGTAGCAAGGGACACAGTAAGACAATTACAAGATTCAAAGTGCAGATCACTGAGTTAGGATGTTTCTAGTGCTACCTTTCATTCTCAACTGTTCACCATGCCTCCCTCTGCCCCTTCCTTCATTTCTCTGGATCGAGGGCCTCTGACAGCTGTTGTCTGCTCTTGATTATGGGATTTTAGACTAACTGTTGCACCAGTGTAGAGACTTGTAAGCTGACTCAGTGCCAGCCGGCATGGGTCTAGAGACAATGCAGTTAAGTTTAGATGGAGCTGCAAGCTATGGATTTACTAGCTTGGATCAGCACATTCATGGGAGTCTCTGCATTACTTCCTAACTGTATTCCCTAACTGTATTCTTATGCTACCCCATGTGTTTTCTTTGCACGAAGATGCTCTCTGAGCTAGATAAAGCAAGAACTAGTCCTGTGAAGCTTACTGGCTCTGTGCAGGCTTTGAATTTGGGAATTGCTGTTCCACTGTCTCTTGGGTCTTGAACTGTGCCTGTCATCAAGATGAAGTGTGTTACAGGGAATGAAGCAGATGGGCTAAAGAGCCTGAGTTCAGACACTCAGCAGAAGTGTCTTAACATGCCTACTTCAAGTAAGGATCTGTATTTATACATTGTCCTCTTCCTCTTGTTTGATCTAGGTTGTATGGTTGGACCCTGGAAATGGGATGTCAGTCCCGTTCAGGGAGCATAAAGGAAGAAAGAAAATCTCCCAGTTGCTGCCGCTGTGACAGCGAGTGAGAGCAAGAGCAGGAAAATGTCGACAGTCACATCAGCAATCCAGGCTCCTCAGGGCCCTGTGAATCCGCCGCCTCCGGAGGTCACTAATCCTAATAAGCCTGGCCGGAAGACCAACCAATTGCAGTATATGCAAAATGTTGTGGTAAAGACCTTGTGGAAGCATCAGTTTGCCTGGCCTTTCTACCAACCTGTTGATGCAATTAAATTGAATTTGCCGGTATGTATCTATTATCTTCTGCTCTCTATTCTGTTCTTAGAAGGCTTTGTGTTGGTGAGAACAGTCTTCTGATCACTGGATCAAAATGCTTTTGCGGATTTCCTTGAATGCTCTTGGACTCACTGAATTTAGAAGATGAGTTTCAGAGCTGGAGAGGTGCAGGTGTCTGAAGGAGAAAAATGCTTCTCACTTAGTGAGGGAAGAGAAGAGCATGCAGGCAAAAACTGACTTAGAGCAACTGAAACATAGTGCTTTGTAGCTTACCTTTGTTTATTTTTATATGTTTTCACCCCTTGTGCCATGTCTGTCCAATTGGAGAGAGCCTTGAAGCCCCCTCTCCTCTCAATTTGGCATTGGGTCAATGTAACTTGTGTTTTCAATAGACTTTCCTGGATTTGCTGTTGGCTTCAGTGTTGATGAAGACAGGAGAAGCTGATTACCAAGATACTGTGGAGCTAGATATTTTCAAATGCTGTACTAGAAGTAGAAAGAACAGAACAGTTTAATTTACCCATCTGCCTCCTTTGTCTGATGATATATATACCCTGTCTCAGACCAGATAATATAAGATATAGCCTGGTTGTTTATAAATGACCAAAGTTTATTAAGCTGCTTTCTTCCAGGGAACAGAGCCATACACTCTTGGGGTTTAACCCCAGCCAGCAATTAAGCACCATGCAGCCACTTGCTCAGTCCTCCCCTCACCTGTACAGTGAGATGGAGGAGAATTGAAAACAAAGCTTGTGGGTTGAGATAAGAACAGTTTAATAATTGAAATAAAAATAAAATAATAGTAATAATAATAATAATAATAAAAAAGAAGTTAACAAAAAGAGAGTGAAATAAAACCCCAGGAAGACCAATAATGCACAACACAGTTGCTCACCACCTGCTGACCAGTGCTCAGCCAGTGCCTGAGCAGTGATCTGCCCCTCCTGGCCAATTCACCCCAGTTTATATCCTGGGCATGATGTCATATGGTATGGAATATTCCTTTGACTGCTTTGTGTCAGCTCTCCTGCCTGTATCTCCTCCCAGCTTCTTGTGCTCCTCCAGCCTTCTTCCTGGCAGGGCATGAGACACTGAAAAATCCTTAAGTTATTATAAACACTACTTAGCAACCACTAAAAACATCTGTGTGTTATCAACATTATTCTCATACTAAATCCAAAACACAACACTACCAGCTACTAGGAAGAAAATTAACTCTATCCCAGCTGAAACCAGGATACCCTTCACCTCTTCAAAGGGGTCCTGTAAGTATAAAAACTGAGCAATAGAGGTGTACCCCTACCCACCTGCTTCACTTAAGTACAGACACCACTACTCCCTCGTCCACTCTGCTGTCTGCTCAGCCAGGCAGCCCATTGCAAACTAACTCGGGCTACTTTGAGCAAAAGGGTTGTATGTAGGATTCAAGAGTGTGGTTCTGGGATGTAAGGTCAGGAGTGCTCCAGTTACAGCAGCTTATAACCCAGTTTTATGGACTGGATCAGGAGTCTTTTTGAATGCTGTAATGTTGTTGATGGGTACTATTTAAAGGACTAGCCAAGAGAGTAAAACACTTAATGCCTGTATAAAATTTCTCTAGGTCTGTGCTCCTTTGTGTCATCTTTTTGTGGATTTAGTTTCTCATTGAGGCATTTTGAGGTGGTTTTAGGTCAGGTTATCAGAAAATTTAAAGGAGGAGTTGGTTGGAAGAACAGTTGTTTTTCACATGGCCTAAATCTCTACAAGCCCAGTAGCTAGCAGGATTGCCTTTTTGTCCTAGTGTGCCTTGCCTGGAAATATTGGTATCTCAGATCACACTTTGAGGGTTGGGCTCAGAGAGTGGCCAGTGGCTGTATGTGGCTTCGTGTGCACATGCAGTGAGGGGGGCTTGCTGCTCTTCTCCAGAATGAGAAAATTATGGTGTATAACCTTGCATACCTAGAGCATCTCCAGGCTAATCACAGCCTCTACTGATGCCTGAGTCCAGCCCAGAGAGAAACTGGGTTAACATGTGAAAGCCTTTTAAGGGCTGAAATGCCCATAAAAGAGAGACCGAAGCTTTTAGCACAGTCAGCCAGTGCTGGCACTGATAAACTTCTGTAAGTGCCAGGGGCAGTCTTTAGAAAAGGAAGGCAGAAATGCTGTTTCCCAAATTGCAGCCAGTTCGCTGTTAAACTGAACACCTTGCCAAAGCTGGTGCTGACTCTGCTGCTCCAACTCCTGGTCCGACGTGAGCACGAATCACATCGCTCTGGTATTAGTCCAGCTCTCAAGTGTGGTACCCTCCCACTCTGTGGCACAATCCAAAATGGCACCTACAGCCTTGTGAGGGGTGTGAAAGCTGCAAACAGCTTCCAGGGAGAGCGGCTCAGAAAGCATCTTTTCCTCTAAAATGTTACTTAGTGCCTTCCCAGTTCATCTGTCCTTACAAAAAACAGGTAATGTCCAAGTAGCTCTCTGTGTGTGTGTGTTTAAAGCATGTATTTGGGGGAGCTGGGGAAGATTGGTGGTTGTGGAAGGAGTTCTCCTGCTTTGTAGTCAAGTTCATAATAGTGATAAAGGCTACAAAATAGAAAAATAAATGAAAGCAAAGGTGATATTTCCACAAAAATCTGGGGATGTGTTTGTTGGGAGGGGGAATGAGGAGAAAGCTGGGACTAGAGGGAGGTGTGAACAACACTCTGCCTATCAGGAGATGTAATGTCTTTCCTGTTTCTCCAACAGGATTATCACAAAATAATAAAAAACCCCATGGACATGGGGACGATCAAGAAGCGCCTGGAACATAACTATTACTGGAGTGCCAGTGAATGTATGCAGGATTTCAACACCATGTTTACAAATTGTTACATTTATAACAAGGTAAAGAGCCCAGACAAGCCTTTAGCTGGGGCGCTGCCTAGAAAACACCCCGCCTACAACTGTTACAGTGCAGGTTTTGAACAGGGCCAGCTCCACTGCGCTCCGGGCCCTACTTGCAAGGATTTGAAATGCCACTAATTGCAACCACATTACTTGAAATGCACAAAGCTGTCTTTGTGCTGTGTCTTTCTTCCCCCAGACTAGTTAAAATGGCAAATGTGCCTTTTAATTATAGGTAGATTTCTGTTCTGGGGTTATGTAGCAAGTTTTTACTCCTTTTATTTTCAGTTCGGAATTCTTTGAGATGAGCTACGGTTTACGCAGTGTTTTGCAGGTGTTCTGTGGGGTATTAGTGCTGTGTGTTATGCGGGCTGTCTAGTAATAAATACTATCTCTTAGCAGCAGAGAGCGGTTCAGGAAGTATAACTCCTTTCTCTGCCCATATCTCGTCCATACTTGCACACCTTTAGACTGCTTATTATTTTGGGTTTGGCTTGTTTGATGTTTTGTTAGGTTGTTAAAAGCGTCTATTCTTTGTATAATGTTTTCTGCAGTGGTTTGTCATCATTGACCCATACTGGCGAACAAGCCGAAATAAACAAATTAATTAGTTTGAGCCACAGAGTATGTGTTTACACTCTTCTCTTGGACCTGCTGGCAAGCAGGGCAGGACAGCTCATCTGTTCCAGTTTGCTGCGTCCACACTGTTGCACGGGATGCTAGCTCTCAGTCTCCTACTGGGAGTCCTGCTAACTCTCTGGGTGCAGCGTACTTAGAGGCTGTAATGATTGCATGCTAGACCAGAATAGAAGAGTAGGAGGATAGCATGCAAGGATGGAGAAGAGCTAGTCTGGTTATTGTTGGAGCTTGGATACGTGAAGGGCAGTGTCATTGGGGATTTCAAAGCCTGATCTTGAACCTGTCTGCTTCTAATATGTGGATGATGCAGCATGGGCTTGTATTCTTCTTTCTGCAGCCCACAGATGACATCGTCCTCATGGCTCAAGCCCTGGAGAAGATATTTCTGCAGAAGGTTGCCCAGATGCCTCAGGAGGAAGTCGAATTATTACCCCCAGTTCCTAAAGGCAAAGGTCGCAAGCCGTCAGCAGGCACGCAGAGTGCAGGTATTAACCTGATCCAGTGACATTAAATGTTGTGAGCCTGTTGCTGAGGCCTGACCCACCTTTCAAGCTGCCTGATGTTGCAAATGGTGAAGAGACTGGGAAGGAAGGATGTAGTCTTAATGGTTAAAGCAGTAGAGAGGAAAGGATGAGATGTCTAGATAATGTTCACCCAGTGTTTCAGGGCTTGTCTGTCTTTAGGCCACTCTGCATTTGTCGTACAAACATCTTACCATCTGTGACTTCCCCATCCATGCAGCGCTTCAGTCAGGGAGGACAATGCTGTTGCTTCCTGTATGCAAAGAAGAAACCAAGGCAAGAAGAGGCAAGGTAGTTAGACATGCCAGTCTGCTGCAAGTGACAGACCATAGCATAAGATGCCTTTATAGACCTGGGTTTATACAGCTCACCCAAGGTCCCAGAAGAAATCTGACACAGTAGAGACTTGGACTCAAATCTTGCCAATCCCCTAAACCCCATATAACATTTTTTCTTTTGCACGCACGGTTGCAACATCATAACGTTTGATCAACAGAAAGGATTTAAGCCATTGAAAAAGACTGTGTAGACTATTGCACATCAATAGAAGTTTAGTTCAACTTACCTAGAGTTGATTTTAAGTGGATTTAGGACTAAAATGTCTCTAAGTGCAGTAAAACAGTTCATAAAGAAGCTCATGGGGGCTGAATTAAACTGTTCCAATTTTTTTTTTCTGTAAACAAGGTCTAGTTGTTGCTCTGGGAAGGTAAACTGTTCCTCTTTGTTTTCCCACATCTCAGGTGCCAAATGGAGTTACAGCTTCAAGCTCAGCCAGATTTGTGATGTTTCTTTTCAGCATACTTTGATAAAAGCTGGTATAGAAACTTAGAGGAGTATTGCTACTTTGGTTATTAGTTACTAGATTTGTCCCCCTTAACTTTACACTACGAAGCAGTTCTTTACAAGTGCAGGTCTAGCATAAGAGACATTGGTCAGACTATCAGGAGACTTGGGCCCTACTCCCAGCTCTGTTTCTTTGGTGTATAACTTTTCTGGAAAATCTGAAGTGCTTTGGACTCTTGGGTGTTTAACTGGCAGTAGGGGAGTGGTTGTTACCATTTGTCACACATAGTAAAAACACTCCCAGGTTGAGGTCTGTGCAGGATGGCAGCTGTCCAGAAGAGCCATCTCCGTTCCCTCTCCTTGAGCTCCTGCTCTTTTGCTGAGCACAGGGTAGCTCTGAGAGCATGAGAAGGGTGAAGACTGTCCCAGAGCAACACACACCCCATGTGCAAAGCTTGAAGTATTTTGCTTGCTTGTGGCTGGCCTAAAGCTCATGGTACAAGGACTTAGGTCAGTGATTTCTCATTTTTTGTTGACCCTTGGGGTAATAGCACCAAGCAAATCACACCGTGTCCTTTGTGCTCTTCCTGTGGCCCTGGACTGGGAGCCTTTTGCCAAGCCCTTGATGGCACAGTCCAGCAGCACCAGTGTCACTTTGTTCCCAATGTCTTGTCAGCACTTGTAACCATCAGTACATTGCAGTGCGTTTTCACTTTGTCGTTTGAAAGGAGCGCAGCAAGCCGTGGCCGTGTCTTCCGTCTCCCCGCCGGCCCCGTTCCAGAACGTCCCTCCAGCCGTGTCTCAGACGCCCGTCATTGCTGCCACCCCTGTGCCAACCATCACTGCTAATGTCCCGCCTGTCACTGCCCCTCCCGCCGCTGCTCCCCCTCCGCCTGCTGCTCCGATCATGCCCGTGGTGCCTCCTACGCCACCGGTAGTCAAGGTAAATGGAGAACCCAACCCCTTTCTCTTCAGAAGGCAGTATTGCTAAGCAGTGCTTTATTTTCATCCCCTCACTGCTGGTTATGTGCATTCCTTCTCTTCACATTTGACTCCTTGCCTCTCTGGCCATCATTATCCCTTTGGGGTGTGCTCAGACAAGTGCTTGCTGTCGACTTTGAGAGGGTTGAGAAAAGTTTTGCCAGTTATATCGCACCCCAGCTGAGGTGATGTCCACTGTAATTACTCCAGCTCCGTTACAAGCTCTCTGACCATAGCCTTAGACAGTGCTGATGCTCATGAACCAGAAGGTTTCCCCCGTTTTGCACCATATAGCCCAAAACATCTCTTCCCTCTAACTGAGCCCCTGATTTTAGTGGGACTATTCCTTTAAGGTTTGCAGACTCCAGCACTAGGAATGTTCCTCTCTGCCATAAACCAGTTCAAGACAAGCCTGTCACTCCAGTTGGAGGAGACTATTCCCTGCAGGTTTTGGGTGCATTAGTTCTGTCTTCCTTACTGAGCAATCTTCTGGGAGTTGTCATTGGTGTTTTGCTATTTACTGTGTTAATTTATGGGTAAATGAAAACATTGCTCTAAATAATTGGAATTTTCCTAGCAAGCTGTGTATTGCTTTAAAAATTATGAAAGCATAGCTCAGAGAAGGCTGGGTTTTTTTCTAAACTGGGGAATTAACCACAACAGTATTGGTGCTCTCTAATGTGAGGTTGCATGGACCAGCAAAGCCACAGAATTGTTTTACTTATTTAACCCTATAGTTTGGGAATTACTAGCGAAATTGTAAATCAAATCTTCTTGCAGCTAAGCTGTCCTCCTCAGAAGCCTGTCTCATACTTCAGTTTCTGTCCAAATAACTTGCTTCTGAGAATCAAAGTAATTTTAAAAGGATGAAGCCAGTAGTCAGTTTGCCAAATAGAGGCTGCAAAATTAATTCTGTTGGGATTTACTTCAGATTTCCCTTAGATTTCCACGAGGAACTTTCTTCCCCCCTTCTCTCTCTCTCCAGAGAAATAAATCTTTCATAGGAGCATAAGAGAGAGCTAACTGGACAGTCACAGCTTGAATTTGAGAGAGGTTTTATTTGCTTAAGGCAAAATCATTAAATTCTTGCTCTTGTCCATAATAAGCAATCTATCTTAGCACACCCACTAAATACAAGGGAGCGAGGGCTCATGGGTCTTTGGTGATTAATATGCTTTGGTTCAGAACTTATAGCCTGATCCTGCCACTGGGGACTCAGACATGTGGTTAAGTTACTGACACTTACTAAGTCACGATGCATCAGCTGAGCTGCAGTAATCGACTGGGCGCACTCCTTTCCTTTGGCAAACATGAGGTAAGAGTCCTTAGTTTAAATCTCAGTGAAATACATAGAGCTAACACATTTTGCATCACGTTTGGGGTTGGGTTGGAGACGTGCAAATGACTGGTTACTGTGGCTCAGGTGACATGTAGTAATACATCGTGTTGTAGTCGCTGAATTGTGTGTTGAAGCCTCTAGTCACAAGTCCCATTTATCCCAGTGAAGTAATTGTGTTTTCTGTCAGAGGACAGGCACATCTCAAAAATAAGGATGAACTGTGCTAGGTTTCTGCTAACATTGCCCGAGAGCTGGGCAGGTACTTACGACATCTGTCCATCTGCTGTTTCAGAAAAAGGGAGTGAAGCGGAAAGCAGACACAACAACCCCCACCACCTCGGCGATCACTGCCAGCCGAAGCGAGTCACCCACGCCCCTCTCGGACCCCAAGCAGGCCAAAATCATCGCGCGACGGGAGAGCGGCGGCCGGCCCATCAAACCACCAAAGAAAGACCTTGAAGATGGAGAGGTCCCCCAGCACGCAGGGAAGAAGGGCAAACTCTCTGAGCACCTCAAGTACTGTGACAGCATTCTCAAGGAGATGCTCTCGAAGAAGCATGCAGCCTATGCATGGCCCTTTTACAAGCCTGTTGATGCAGAGGCCTTGGAATTACATGACTATCATGATATTATCAAACACCCCATGGATCTCAGTACTGTTAAAGTACGTCCACATTTACCACCTCTTTTGCAGGGTGTCACAGCCCTCTGGTTGCAGAGGACTGGCTTCTTCTGGGGGAGGGGGAAGGGACACGGGTAGAAACCTGAACCTGTTTGGATATCATCTGGATATTTTTATATTTTGTTTCCTTGTCCTCTCTTTTTTTCCCTGTAAGCTGGGACATCTGTTTTGTGTTTTTTTTTTTTTCTGCCCTGCAAAGCAGACTGTACAATGGCATCCTCTCCTCTTTGTGGATAGTCCAGCTATTTAAACTTATGTCCTTGGGATTGTGTTGCACTCTGAGAAGAAGAGGTGCTGTATTTCATAGGATTCAATTGATAGTATCCCATTTCCAGAAACTGCTGCCTGCCTGCTTGTTGGCATGATGTGTGGTCCAGATAGGCTTACGCTGAGCAATTCCAACTGGAACGTGATGATCGTCTGGTGCTCGGGGAGGGGAGGAAATAATGTGATGCTTGTGTGGTTCATGCTTGGCTCTTCAAGAGCTTAGCTTAGTATGGTCCAATGTTCAAGGTGTTTTTTCCCAGTAGACTGGAGGTTTTCTGAATCCCTCCTAAATGTCCATGGAGCTAAGCAGTGTTTTTCTAGTCCCCATCTTCTGCTTGTGAGCCAGCCATTGGAATTGGTGTTGGTGGAGGTGAGACTTTCTTCCATGTGCAGGACGTTAAGGTATTTCTGCTGGCTTTCACTAGCATGCCAAGAAGTATTTTGCTGCCAGCTGAGACAATGCCTGGGATTATCTAAATGCCCAGGTGACAAAAGGGCAGCTGCATTCATGATTCCTTTCATGTTCCTTGGCAAATCCTACGTACTACCTGGAATTAGTGTGTCATGCTCTAATGTGCCATGCCATCCAGCCATGCTGCTGCAGGAGTTCTTACTACAGCTGCAATATTTTTATGAATATTTTAGTTGCATTATTTAGTGGTGAGAAAATAGTTGTCATGGTCTGTGCACTGAGGATTAGACCAGGCGTTACCAGTGTCTGAGTTTTAATTGCTATTCTGATGTTATGGTTTTGGGTCAGTTTCCCCACAGCTCTGTGCTGTGGTTTTCCCAGCCATAAAATTGAGATAATAATACTTAACCTACCTCACAGGGCTGTTGTGAGGACAGATATCTGGAAGGCACTATCTAAGTACTAATTATTATTATTGATTGGGTTTGTACAGAAAAGACCGTCTCTGAGCTGGCAGAAGCACTGTGAGCAAGGTCTGGTGGAGCTCGGCCTGGAGACCATTCTGCTCCTGAGCTTGCAGTGCCCTTGCTTTGTTCACAAAAGCCAGTGCAATGTGCAATATTTTTGACTTGCAATTAAGCCGAGCTGTGTTAAAGGCCTGCAGCAATTTCCTAGCAGGAGAAGAGAGTAAGATAAAGGGTGAATTGAGCTGCAGGCAAGAAGAGGGACCCAGAAACACAGTGGTAAAAGCAGGAGAAAGGTCTAGGTTGAACATGGTAGTCTGTGAGGCTGGAGCACTGGTGCCTGGCTCTAATGTTCTGCTGATAGAGGAAGGTCCCAGTGTTTTTTTGGGTAAGTTTCCATTTCCTCTTGCTCTTGAGCATGGATGAGGAAGGAAGAAGCTCCCCTCAGTTTTGGTACTGCAGTGCATCACCATCCCACTGATGCTGGGTGCCTGGTACTGAAGGCCTACTTAAATCTTGTACATTGTTTTAATTAGATTACTTGCTGTCAAGGTCTGCTGACTTCACTTTGCGTTGGAGTTTTTCTTCTCCACCAGCTCGGAGGTCCATCCTCATGGCTTGTATCATAGGTTAATGGATAATTTACGTTGGTCAGAAGGCTGCCTCCTGCTGAAAGCAGGGTTGCTTGTGCGCTCTGGTCTGCTCCCTTCCAGGGGTCACCACCACCTCCGCTGAGTGGGTCCAACCTTGCTCCTCTGATGCCAGTGAGTGGGCTGGGAGCAGGAACAGGTTGCACATGGGCTTTCTGGTGTTTTTCTGTAAGTCAGATCAGAGGTGCAGTACTTAAGTGGCATCAGGAACCTTCCTATATGATGCTCTGTTTACTGTGCATACAGTTACATTTGCCCATGCTTATCATAGGCTGCATGTCAAAATCTGTTCTAAGAGTCTATAAACTGGCCAATAGCTTTAAAGGCGTTTCAGAGTATGTCTGGTGTGCAGAAATGGCTGAGATGGGAAGAAGCATCTCTTGCTCAGTGCAACGGTTCTTTCTGTAATCCCATGAGTGATGAAGTACGATGGATAACCTTTTCTCTACTAGTCTGGTGAATACAAGTAGTTAGGTGATCATGTCCTAGATGAACTTATTCAGTTACTGTGCTGACTTTAGCAGGACTGTTGGTAAACTTAGTCCTTTCAGACCTATTCTCAGCTCAGGCACACTCTCTTGACTTCCTAGGGATGCTGTGGGTCTCCAGGGATACCGGCAGCCTGGCAGATCAAGCCCTGGGTGAATGCAGTAAGATTAGAGATGGAGAGAGTAAAATCTTGACTCTCTCAAAGAGTCTCAAACTCTCAAACGTGTGGTTAGGTGGCTTCTTACTGCAAGAGATTTTGTACTGTATTCTGCAAAATCTAGGTGCAAAGCTGTGATTTCTTGGGTTGGTGACTTCTTCGCACTTAAATCTCTTTGTAGTCCTAACTTTGTTCTTTTAAAAAGTGTACACCTCTGCCCTTTTTCTACAAGTGCAGGTGATACTCTCCCTTTGTACCTTACTAGTGTAGGGCAGAAAACTGGAGATAAGTTAATGGCAGACCCAGTGGAGTCTTTTGTATGTAAAGACTCTGGATTTGTCTTTCCATGTGGTAGTATTTTTGTTAATAAACTTGTTTGAAGTGCTGTCTGGTATTGTTTTTTTATGAAGTGTTTTATTATCATTGCTCTTGGCCTGTAGATCATAGTGTGACTGAGATGCAGTCTATAATACTTTAACTGCGTGGAACAGAAACCTGCCATTTGCAGGCAGTGTAATTCTCCAGTGTCAGGGGCTTTCTCTGTGGCTCTGAAAGGTGCAGAATGAAATCTAAAACAAATGACAATGTCTGGGGTAAAGCAGCACAACTGGTGGCCTTCAAACTAATCTTGAAGGAATTATGTGAGAAAGTAAAACATGAACATTGCTGCCACTGTGATAGATTCCCCAATACCTGGCTGCTTGTCACTTCGGTTCTCTGCTTATGTGAAGTTTGATTTTCTTCAGAGAATATTCTTCATGTCCAGGAGCCTTTTTTTTCAGGCTGTGCACCCAGCAGAGGTGTGCTTCAGAAGGATTTGGAGATTTTCTCTGTGGTGGAGGAGGCAGGTTGGCTGTTGTGACTGTGCCAGTGACAGGTGAGAGGTGAGGGGCTGTAGCTGAGCTTGTTGCAGCCAGGAGCAGAGGGGTGTGCTGGAGTGCTGTGCCAGGACTGAGAGTGGGAAGAGCCAAAGGGATGGATCAGTGAGCTCATCTCCAGGTCAGTTCTTTGATAGTCATCAGAGAGGGGGGAAAAAGCAGAAATACTTGGAGTAGAGAGGAAAGGATGAGGAGAGAGGGAGGCAGAGGCATGGGTTATGCTTTAAAAACTAAGAGGCAGCAGCCCTAATTTCCCTGTGGTAGGTGAAACGCTTTGCCATGAAGCTGTAGCAGCCCTGTTCTTCAGCTGCCCTGTCCACAGGCAGACGGGGCCTGCTTGCAGTGCGCTCATGTCCCCTTCTGATGTTGGGGAGCTTTGGGGTGGGGAGGCAGGGTGCTGGGCCCATCATGGAGCTGGGGGAACCCGGAACACCTCTCGCTTTGAGTCACAGCAGCAGCAAGGGGGGATGTCTCTGCCTTTGGTTTACTCAGTGGCAAATGAGCAAGAGCCCTTGCTATGTGAGAGGATTTATACAAGGTGTTTACTTTTGGAATAAAACGCTACCTCCAGGGATCTAACTACACTCACTGGTCAGTTTTCTTGCATAGATTGCTGGGGTTTCAGAGCAGCTGAGTTAAGGATCTTGAAAGCGAGGAGACGTTCTTTGGGGGAATTTTTAAAGATTTCTTTAGTTGCATCTATTTTAGAGTACAAACGCAGTTTCACAAAGCACATGCTCTTGTTGAGGCAGTTTCTGTAAGGTGCAAGTAGACCTCCAGAAATCAGGCTGAGTCCTCAGTAGCTGGCAGAGATGGCATTTTCTCTGCTGACGTTGCTGGACCTGTGTGGCCCTTGTCAGCACCTGCCCTGATGCCATGCCCAAGGCATGTGCTTTGAGGACAGACTGATGTCCAGTTTAGCTTTGGAGAAGATGTGATGGAAAGGGGACATGTTAGATCTTCCAACACGTAAAAGATTGCTGTAGGAAGAGAGGGAACAGAGTTTTCTTTGCATCCTCTGTGGGCAGGATGAGGCTTACCTTAGAGGAAGAGACACATTAGACATTAGGAAACAAATTTCTGAATATTAAAGAATATTAAAGAGTTTAACTGATTGCTGAGGGAAAAATGAGATTGCTGTGGTAGATACTGTGGGGGGCAGAGAATGGACTAGCTGGCCTCCCAGCATCTCTACCAGTCCTGCTTGTCTTTGACTTCTGATTTGCAGTTGTAAATGTCATAACTTTTTTTTAAGCAGCTGGATATCTCACAGTGAATTTGTAACCAAAGATATTCCAGTCCACCAATTGAAAGTATTTTTTTTCTGTTAATTATTCTTTACAAGAAAACAACATAAGACAAAAATCCACGGATTAAAACTGTTGGGCTAGGAAACTATTGGGTTTGGATGAAAGTGAAGCCTCAGACACTGGAATGTATTTCATAGGCAGTAATCAGCCATTGAGTGTGCCAAACAAATGTAAGTGCATCAAAAAGACCTTTCATGCAGTAAGATGTATTTTAAAATAAATGGGCCCTTTTGTTTGAACATATGTTTTACTTTCAAATTGGCCTTGAGACATTTTTCAGACAAGGCTAGCTCTCCTTCAGACAGCAGAAGCACAAACCTATTTCCCTTTCTGTCTTTGTGCTGTGGCTCAGGCTGTCTCTTAATTTATTCACCAAGGGAATGAGGTTTTGTGACAAAAGTTTGATAGATGTCTGGCTGCAGCAGTGCAAGGAGTAAGGCTGCAGGAATGTCACCACCCTGCGTTGCAGGTCCCTCTGAAACTGCATCCCTGGAGGTGAAATTCTGCCCTATTGAGAACAACAAAAGTTTTAGGACTCATTGTAGTGTTTTGACATAGTTACAAGGTCTACTGTGTAGCTGTAAAATACCTGTAGCTTCCATTGAACAAATGAGAATTTTGCTTGTGTTAGGGCTTCCAGCCCTGCTTTCTGCTCGGATGGAGGATCTATCTTCCCTGGTCACGTTTGCATCCTGACTGCCAGTCAGTCCCTTCCCTTCACTGGCGGATACAGGTGCACACAAGACATACAAAAGGGAGGCCTGCAAACACTTGACAAATAGAGAATTTCTTTAAACCCAGGTCTTTTAAATGCAAATGAAATCTAGTGTTAGCTGCTTTTTCCTTTTGGTAGGAGTAATTGGAGCTAAGGTTTTATACATAGTAGTAATATATGCATAAAATCAATTAAGTTCTAGGAATGCTAAAAACTGTTCTCTAAATTCAAGTCATTCAGTCCCAAACAGCAAGAGAAACGGATGAAAGTGAGAGCTGAAAAATAAGAGAAAGGAACAAGCTGCAAATATTTAGCTCCCGATAGCTTATCTTCACTACACTAGGAAATAACGTTATGAATAGGTTCATAAAAGGTGAATTCTGTATCCATTTGCTATCAGTTGGACTTTTAAATCAAGCATAGGTGTTGTAAATGCGCTGTAAATGCCTACCTTGCTATAGGAATTGCCAAACAAAATTCATGCCCTGTGTTAGCAAGAAGTCAGAGTTGGATGTTTATGATCTTTTTTGCCCTTTCAGATTTACAGGGAAAAAAATACACAAGCAGCATGTAGATATATACGATTAAGGTACGCCTGTAATTGTAGCTTGGTTGGTTGTTGACTCCTGCCCTTCCTGTCCATGATCCCTGTTAACATTAGTTTCTGATCTAGCAAACCCTTTTTCTAAATTACTTTATCTTCTAGTAAAATGTGGACCCTGACAAATTTACATAGCGCTACTTAGAAAAAGAAAACAACCCAAATTTAGAATCTTAAAGTGTTTAAACTGTTAAGGAGCAATATCAACTTCTTCGGTTGCCTGGTGTTTGCTTGTTTGTTTTAGAAAGCAGAAACTCTGAATGTTATTTAAGAACCAAAAAGCCAGATCAAACTACTGTTCTCTTAGACAAATGTGATTTTTTTGAGGCTGTTCTGAGCTGTCTCCAAGATGCACGTGTCCTCCATGCAGTTGCTATAAATGCCTTCTGCTTATGGCTTTTTCTCCCCTTTCCCTTTGGCTTGTTTGTTTGCAGAAAAAAATGGACAGTCGGGAATACCAGGATGCACAAGGTTTTGCAGCAGATATTCGGTTAATGTTCTCTAATTGTTACAAGTACAATCCTCCAGACCACGAAGTGGTAGCGATGGCCAGGAAGCTTCAGGTAAAGGTGTTGGCAAATGCGTCTTGCAGAGTATGTTTGGTTGAGGTGTCTGTTCATAGATCCAACTGTGGATCTGCTCTTGGCACCAACAAGGGAGATTCGTTGATTCTTCCAGCCCTTGGGAAGAGCCATGTTCTCTGCTGCAGAACTGTTATGCTCTTCACATGGCATGGCCCAATGCCTCGTTTGCTCCTAAAACTTTATATTCATTGCTATATAAAGCAATGGGAGAATTTTCATGGCCTTACAAAATATGCCCATCGTTTTTATTTACTTGTACAGCACCTTGTGTAGTGCAGTAAGACCCTGACCCATGGTCTGTGTCTGTGTGTTTAAAAGCCCAGAGTGAGGTCTTTGCGACTGAGGCTCCTTTTGTCACCAGTTTCCCCCCCCTTTTTGTAGGATGTCTTTGAGATGAGGTTCGCCAAGATGCCCGATGAGCCTGCAGAGGCCCCGCCTCCACCTCCACCAACAGCACCCGTGGTGAGCAAAAGCACAGAGAGCAGTCACAGCAGTGAGGAGAGCTCTTCCGACTCGGATAGCTCGGACTCAGAAGAAGAGCGAGCGACTCGGCTGGCAGAGCTCCAGGAACAGGTATTGCAACAGCCACGCTGTGTGTCTCTGTGCAGTAGAAAGGGCATAGGAGGAAGAGTTTCATTTTGTTCTTAAAAATCCCATCGAGGCTGGGCTGCAGCAAAGCAGTCTCCACTTCTGCCAGCTAAAGGGGAAAAATGCTCAGCGGTGAAGCAAGTGCCTGTTTGATGTCATGTTAATTTTCTTCAAGACAGCCGTTCTTGGTGCTGATGCTCTGGCTTCCTTCTGGGATCCCAGAGTGTGAATGAGGATGTGGACAATACTAGGGCTCTGGGAAGAACAGACACCCGTTTTGTATGAGAGCTCAGGCATAACAAAATCTATCTCAAGCTTCCTGTGGGATATTGTCCCCCTGTACCCCATCTGTAGAAGTGAGGTGTTTTGATGCTGTGGTTGCAAACACTTAAGCCATAGCCTTTCTTACTATGCGGATACACAATGCCAGATGCTACAGTGCTTACATATGCTGCCGTAATACAATGAAGCATTAATGAAATAGCTTATCTGGTGTCTCAAAGCATGCTAGTAGGAGTGCCAAGAAGTGAACCTAGGATTCCAGAGGCCAAGTTGTCAGCACTCTAGATGGAGCTATTAAGCTTAATTTATATCTGCCCCTATAAAACAAGAAGATGTTTTCATTTGAGTCAGCTTCTGTGTAGTTACTACATTTTTTAAAAGAATTTAAAATCAAGCAAAGTCTCCTGAGTTCAGTCACTAGACTGCTAGATCAGTGACTTTGGGATATACTTATATGTTGGGATGTAGAGGAAGGGTATGTGGAGGCATCAGTTATCTTACCTTGAAGTCTGATTAATTTTTACACTGTTCTCCCTCAGCTAAAGGCCGTCCATGAGCAGCTAGCTGCATTGTCACAAGCACCAGTGAACAAACCAAAGAAAAAAAAAGAAAAGAAGGAAAAAGAGAAGAAAAAGAAAGATAAAGAAAAGGAAAAAGAAAAGCACAAAGTCAAAACTGAGGAGGAGAAAAAACCCAAGGTGGCTCAACCACCAAAACAAACCCAACAGAAGAAAGCCCCAGCTAAGAAAGCAAACAGCACAACCACAGCTAACAGGTGAGAGCTTGACTTCTGCAAGTTGTCTTACGGGGAATGCCAAGAGCTTCCAGCCCAGTTCTGTCCCTGTTGAATTCCTGGTGAAGCTCAGTTGTCAGAGCAGTTAAATACTTGAATAGTGTCTCCAGTCCCAGACAACTCCAGGGAGTCTTTAAGTTAGAGCTGGCAGTGGAACCATATTTCCACTGTCCAGCTCTCTTAGAATCCCTGCCTGATCACTCTCAGATAAGGTTTTGCTTTTTGCCTTTTGCACAGCCAGCAAGAATGTGCCATTTCATTGCTGCCCCCCTGCTGCTACATGGGCTTGTTGTCATGCCTCACAGCACTAAAATATAATGGGAGTAGAACAGCTGATCTCAGACTTCTGCACTTTTTCAGAAGTTGTGGTGCTCTTCAAGCTGTCTGGCTAGAGATTCAAAGCCGAGAGCATTGGGATGATTGTTATAAGGGGGGTAGAAAAAAAAAATAGCTAATTGCTTCTATATATCCATGAATGTTTTCATGCTTGCCAACCCCCCCCTAGGCAGCCCAAGAAAGGAGGCAAACAGGCATCTGCAACCTACGATTCAGATGAGGAGGAGGAAGGTCTGCCCATGACTTACGATGAGAAACGACAACTCAGCTTGGACATCAACCGCCTGCCCGGGGAGAAGCTGGGCAGGGTGGTGCACATCATCCAGTCACGGGAACCTTCCCTCAGAGACTCCAATCCCGACGAGATAGAAATAGATTTTGAAACATTGAAGCCCACAACTTTACGAGAACTGGAGAGATACGTGAAATCTTGTTTACAGAAAAAACAGAGGAAACCATTTTGTAAGTTACCTCCGGGGGCACATGTTCCCCCATCGGCTCTTGGGCTCAGCTTTGGAGTCAGGGCATGTGTGTTGGGATTCTCTTACCCAGAAGTTTGGTATATGATAGCAGGGATTTTTAAGAGGTTCTTCTCTCCCATGAAAATATACAGAAACTTTCTATTTTTTCTGTTCTTTCTCCCCATGATGTCATGCCTTGGAGACCTGGAGGACTATTGTGTTCCTCTACAAGACTCGTGTGATACCTTTATTACTTATCTAGAATCTAGAAGGCACTATAAAGGTTTCAGTCTCGTTGTGTTGGGTGTTAGGTGCATCTGGAAGGATCAGTTTCTTATCCTGACTAGTTTAGCATCTAATTAGATGCTAACAAAACAAAACAAAAAGCATGATTGGGACCCAAGACATCAAGGGAATAAATAACTTGCAGAAAGTTACCTGGGCAACCTGTGGATTCTGTGTGTAAGTGTCTTGAGTTGTATATTCACCCTAAAACTGCTCTTTCTAGATGGCCTGATCACCATACTGCCCTAAGTCTATATCAGATCAGAGGATTAATGTTAATGCGCTGCCAAGTGTACGGTTCAGTATGGGACGGACTTTTCTCTGTGCCTCATCCACAGAGAGTGATTCTTATGGCCCCTTGAGAGTTTAGCTCCAGCTGAATAGCAATAGGATCACTTACCTGAAGTGGTCCTGGCTCTGTCCATCTGCTTGTCCGTAAAGAGGGAGTTGTCCCCCTAAGAGTATAACACAATAGCTACTCGCAACTCTTGCAGAGCACCTCCATTTCTTCACTACAGGATTTTCAGGTAGGCCTAAGCAAAGCTCAGACTTTGACCCTTCTTTTTGCTTTTTAATACACTGCTTTGATACCCCCACCCCGAGTCCTTCACTGTTGGAATAGCTCAGGAAAAGATTTTCCAGAGTGGTTAGGAGCAAGAAGCATCCTTTTTTTTTGGAACCAAAGCGTAGAGTAACGCAGATAACTACAGATCCTGAGACTGGTATGCCCTGGGCTGGCAGGCTGGCGTGCCTGACCCCAGCTGGACTCTTGTGCTGTCTGCTGTCTGTTGCAGTGCTTAGTGTTCAGCAGCACATCCTCTTAGGACTGTGCTTTCCAGATTCCTTTTTTTTTTTTTAAATCATTGCTTTAGAACAGTGCACAGAAATGTAGGTATTTCCTTGCTGGATCAGGCAAAATATCTGGCCTGTGTCTGAGCTTCTAATACTGGCCAACACCTGTGTTCAATTACTCCTTCTTTGGAGGGATATTTCTTCTGTTCAGAAGTATGAGTGTTACTGGTACTTCTCACCACTTCCATCTTAACTGATGCAGCTACATTCCTGTTGTCTGCCAGCCTTTGCCTCAGCTGGATTTTAATTTGTCCTTTTTTTTTTTTGTTGTATATTTCAAGCAACATAAAGCACAGTAGATTCTTGCATGAGGTATCTTAAGTTTTAATGGCAGATGCTTACTTCTGACAGCCTTTAATGGGACACTTTATTTTACAGGGCAGAAAACCCATGTAACAATTCTGTAATTACAAATGTGTAACTATTGACCATATAACTGGCTGGTAAGTAACCTGTAACTACAAGATTATTACATGGATATTTCTATCTTCTAAAATACTTTCCAGAAGATCTCTCTTAAAAAGTGCATGTTACAGGATTGTGGTGATTGGATGATCTAGACAACTTCATAAATTATCCTCTTTATCTGGGATGTGTAGTTGCTGTGTGGTCACTTGATCTTAGCAGTGTCACTGCAGAAGTGGTTGCACAGATTTACATGCCCTGTAAAATAGTGATGTCCACTCTTTTTTTTCTCCTGCAACCATGCAGTTTCAGAAATTGTGCATTCCTCCTCCACAGCTGCAAGTGGAAAAAAGCAAGCAGCAAAGTCAAAAGAAGAGTTAGCTCAGGAAAAGAAGAAAGAACTAGAAAAACGGTTACAGGATGTCAGTGGGCAGTTAAACAACAACAAGAAACCTGCAAAGAAAGGTAATGGCTTTGCTTTTACTATGCTAACAATTCCCAAAGAGTTGAATATGTAGATGTAGATAGACTGAGGCAAAACTACTGCCTTCTTGCAGCCTTGGGATCATCTCTGACAGTTACCCCAGTTTGTCAGTAGTGTTGGGGCACAGCGAGTTACTGCGGGGCGCTGAGCTACTGTGTGGGGGCTGCTTTAGTCCCTGTTTGGGTAGAAGCTCCCCTCGGTGGTCAATGTGAGATGTTTTGGAGGCAATGCATCTTTCAGAGGGAGGAGGATCTTCCCCTTGGTGTTAGCTTGTGCAGGACTGTGTGTATAGACCAGCAGCACGGAGCATCTAACAGATGATTTTTCTCCATTGCGGGATTTAAAAAAGCTTAAGACCCCACATAGTGCAGTAGCATGAAAGATGCTACAAAAGATTCTTCCAGTGCTGTCTTGTCCCATGCGGTGGGTTACAAGGTGGGTGAATCTTTTGAATTCCCTGAGAGCCTGCGTGCTGGTGGAAGAGTCACAACAGTGACTCAGAGGAACAGTTGTGCTGGTGACTTTATTAACTGACCAATTTAGTGAGTGAACGGAAAGAATTTGGCAACAATCAACTGATAACCATTCTGGGGAGGAATAAAGGCACTTCGGCAATGAGACTGTTTTCCTAATAACCCATCAACAGTCAACTGATGGCAATTCAATTAGTACAAAACCAATATATGTGAATATATATGAGAGAGAGTAAAAACAGGAAAGAGAAAATAGGACAGGGAGAGAGCAAAAGGGGATTCACCACCCTTTGGATCCCAGGTTGTCATAGGGTAGCCAGGTCTGTAGGTGGTGGGTTGATAAAGACACACGTGGGTGTTGCCTTTATAGAGTCTTTTTTACACATGTGCAGTAGGTTGTTCCAGAAGGTTCTCATTTTCTCTGGCTTGTACCTGCACAGTGAGGCAAGTTCTGTCTCTGGGCAACAGCAGGAGGAAGGGGCAGAGAAAAGGCCCAGCTGTGCCGCACAGGGCATCCCACTCGAGTTGTTGGAGGCATCCTCTTCATGAACACTTTCTGGTTTACAAACAGCTTTTGACAAGTGCAAACTAAGCTTCTTCCAGCTTCTCACAAGTCAGACAGGGTTTTCTTGTGTTCAGAGGTTGCACTGGAGTCTGCGGGGCTGTGGACACAGCTCCCCCAGTGCTCTGCACCATCTCACCTGAGCACCGTAGGGCTGCGGAGGACGTTGCCCTCCCGTAGGGCTCCTGTGCGGATCCCAAACTTCCACAGTCACCTGCAGCCTGACAAACCTTGCTGCCTGCCCACTGACAGGACAGGCGTTGTTGCAGCAAGCCAAAGCTGCGGGTAAATAAGCTGCCCAGGCAAAATGAAATTGTGAATGAAGCCGGGGAGGATGAAAGCTGTGGGCAAGCTTTCTCTATTTCCGTTCCTTGCAACTAACCACATCGCTGCCTTCTTCCCCGCAGAGAAATCCGGCTCGGCTCCCTCCGGAGGCCCTTCCCGGCTCAGCAGCAGCAGCTCCTCGGAGTCTGGGAGCAGCAGCTCCAGCGGCTCCAGCTCAGACAGCAGCGATTCGGAATGAGTTACGGACACTTACACACAAAATGGACATCACCCTCACCAATGCTCTGCAGTGTTCCTTTCTCTCGTTAATATACTGCTCTTGTTCCACGGTGGTCAGGTTTTTTTTTTTGTCTCCTTTCTCTGACTTTTTTTATTTTATTTTTTAATTCAGTGTTATAAAAGGTATCTTCCATTTTGGGGGGGGGGCTCTTTTAATAGGTCAAAGATCTTTGCGTGTGCGTGTGTGTGTGTGACTAGACTTTATGACAAATAGTTCCCTTTGCATAAAGTCTCTAAAATACTTTTTAACTGAAGAAGATTGGTTGAAAATGGAAGAATTTGAACTCTTAGCAGGAGATAAATAGAAAGTTCTGCAGGGTTTGTAGTACATTTCCCTCCTGCCCCTTCCCTCTCCCCAGAATGTTCTCTTTTAAGAAGCCTGCCTGGCTCACACAAGGTAAAAAAAAAATAATCTTTTTTAAAAGAAATCTCTGTAAAATGGTACTGTATCTGAAAGATGTTAGCTTTTGAACTAGTTGGTGTATTTGTTATTAGCACTAGTATTCTTAATCTCGAAGTCTACAGTGTGATAAAAATGTCAGATGCTATGATCTTTTTACATAAAAACAAAAAACAAAAAAATTCTCATGTACTGTGGATTGCTAACATGCTTTTTTTTAAATCTTGGTAGAGGCATAGGCACCCATTCAGGAAGGTATTTAAGCATGAATTTAACTTTAAGCACATGAGCAATATAAGTGGTTGCATTTCTTGTTTTTCCACTCAAAATTTTAGTTTTTCTCGGGGATGTGTTGGGAAGAAGGGAGCGAGGGACACTCAAGTTTCTTGGGAATGTTATTTTTAACATCAAATAGATAATTTCCAGGAAATGGACACTCTCTCTGAAAGTTTTTAGTTTAATTGAAAACAGGTTTTGGCTGAATATTCTCAGCTGGACTGCAGAGTGACCAAGGCGGGTCATGTGCACATTATTAGACACATGCTTAAGTATTTTCTCCATCACAAGCACCTCAGTCTGGGCTTAAAATAAAGGAGCACTTGAGCTCCAGCTGAGGCTGAGCTGGGAGAGGAATTGAAGAGGGATGATGTGTGTGTTTGGGTTGGGTTTTTTTTCTCTCCTTATTGTTTCAGTAGTGAGCTCCTAGAAATGGAATGCTACTTCTGTGTCATGCAGGGTGCAGGTTTCCAGGCACTGAAATGCTTACCTCAATAAAAAGAAAAAGGAGAGGAAGAAAAAAAAAAAAAAAAAGAGCCCATTTTTGAAGGCTTGCGATTTTTTGAGTCCAGCCTAATGTTTTGACCTGCACTACTGCAATACACTCGTGTTTTCACTGTCCCTAATTTCATGTATATACAAGTACTTTATTTATTAAACACCATTGGTCATTTCAAACTTAATAAAAAAATAACAAAAGCAAAGCTGCATTATGCAGACCTGCAGAAATGCAGACTTCTAATGTGGTTTGAATCAGATTAAAAAAAAAAAAAAGAAAACAAAACAATAACAACAAAGCAAGTAAAAATCTGAGACTTTATTTAAATATATTGGACTTTATACCTACAGGTGCTACAGTCCAGTCTGTCGTGTGTCTGGTGCTCTGTCATGTTCGGTGTGTTCATTTTTTGATTTGTTTTCTCTCTTCTTTCTCTTTTCACCCCAGCCCCCTTTTTTCCTGTTTTGTACAGATTTTGGAGACATACAGGTAGATAAAATTTCTTGATGCAGCACGTTGTTATTTTCTCAGTAATGTTTCGAGAGGTCTTTTTCCAACCTCTCTTTTTTTGTGTGTGTGTAGAACAGTAGGGTTTTTTTCTTTTATAATCCAGTTTTAGGAAAACACCTGTTCTATAATTATATAAAATTTGTAATCTGAGGGGCAGAAATTTTATTGTAAATTCTTAACTTCTTATTGTAAAGAAAAAATGTACAGAGTTTAACAGAAAGTTATGCCTTTCCTTCTCCCAGTACCAGCCCCTAAGGCTGCCTCTTTACTGCAGGGTAGCCCTAAAATTCACATTCCTGTGGTCTCTATTAGCAGCTTGCTGGAGGCCCCGTGGTGCAGATTGCACCAGCTTTTATTTTTCACATAGTTGAGTGGTCCTGGAAGACTCCTCAGCCCCAGCACACGATTTTCATTGCCTCCAAGAGCCAGGATGGGAGCTCGTGGGCTGGGACATGTGGTGTCTGGGTGATGTCCCTTTGCTGGGAAGCGCAGGGCCAGCCTGTTGTTGGCACTCCATGTTTTGCACTTCTAACTGCATCCGCACTCAGCTGCCAGTCGCTTACTGCCCATCGGCCGAGGTTTTATTAGCTAGGCACTTATATATTTGTCTTTTAAAAAATCTGTCTTTCAAAGATCATCATTTCAGAGTGTTTGGATGTGCATCTCGTACAGCTGACATGTCTCTGTCCATGTCTTACCTCTGTAGTGGCAGTAACACATTACCCACAGTTCGCTGTAGAAAAGAATTCCCTTTTTTTTTTTTTTTTTTAAATTGCTAAGAGCTGAGAGTGTGATGCTGTGTTGCCGTGAGGTACTGAGTTCCTCCTCTGAGTTGCTGAGTGTCTTTGGCTCGTTTTGCAGTCACAAGGGTGTTTGGCCCAGTGGCAGGAGGCGCTCAAGTCTTTGCAGATAGTTTCCCATAGGATTTGAAAGCTGATGATCTAGGCTGTCTGATTCTTACTGAAATTAATTATTTTTCTTTTCCATTAACAATGGAGTTATTTTTAGTTCCTATATTTTTTTTAAATTCTGCCCTTAAAAAAAAATCTTCCCCTAGACAGATCCTTAGTAATATATTTTCAGAATTTACTATGAGGAAATGTAATATACACCTAATTAAGAGCTTAATTTTTTTTTTTAATGGGGTTGGGTTTCATCTGTGTTTCTCCTATTGTTTGAGACTTGCATTATCAAAACCAACCTAGTATTTGAATTAAAATAATTGCAACCAATTCAATACCATGACAACTTGGATAAACAAGCTCCCAGTTTTCCCTGCCTGAAACCTTTTCCTGCGTGCATTAACCTGAGCGATGCTGTTCCTGTAACATGGTGGTCGCTCCCGTGTGGAGAACAAACCCCAGGCAGTGTTGGAGGCAATAGCAGCCCAGCCGGCAGCCGCTGCCGCCAGCGTCGGGGGGACCTGGCTCTGCAGTGTGTCACCCTCCTCCGACGCCGGGGACAACCCCGCTCACCACAGCCAGGGTACAGACCGTCCCCTGGGGCACGTAGGTCTGTCCCACCGAGATCAGTGGAAAGGTTAGAGCTGGAGGGTTGGGAACCAAGCGTGAAGCGACGGAAAGGGGCCTGGCTCGGGACTGTCTGCAGCGCTGGAGGAGGATCCCTGCATTAGTTGGCAAACCTGTCCTAGCTTGGGGATTTGCAAGGAAAACAAGCAACCAAACCCACCAAGGAATATGAAGAACCACCTGCGTATCTTTGATATATCCAACTGCAACTTGGGCTACCATTTAGTGGGAAACTTTTCATGGAAAGTAAGGTGTTCGCTGTGAAATGGCAGTTCACAGGAGAGATCCATTTTGGCATGACCTTTGTTTCAGGAAAGAATGGTGACTTCGTTGCAAAATATTGTTCTTACACTTTTTCATTTTCGTATTGTTTGTAGTGCTCATTATCTCCCGACATGTCAGTAGTGGTGCCTCTTGTATCTCCAGAGTGTCTCCAGGAAAGAAGAGATGTTTTCAGTCCATAGTAAGTAGCAGCAGCCCTTAATGAGTTGGAAACTGAAACAATAGAGCATTTATTTAACTGAGTTTGTATTGCATGACACGTCAGTACAGATGTCATGAAATAACTTTAAAATGATCAAACATAGAACATTTGAAATAACATTTTTAAACTTAGTAAAAAAAAAAAGAGAAATTTTTATGGTAGAATTTTTCTTGAATGAACAAAGTTTAACTTTGTTTTCCAGGGGAAACTTCACTGAAATCAGTATGATTTCATATGTATGCATACACACAAATAGTTTTATTGAAACTGTTTTTTCTGACAAAACTGTTTTGACAAAACAATATCTCACCAGACCTATTACCAATCAACCAGCATTACTGCACCTTTAAAAACTTTGTTAAACTTTATCTGATTGTAAGGTCAGCCTGTTTCTTGGCACACCATCAGACACAGGCTCAGTGGGACCAGAGGGAGATCCGCATCCCATGGGCTCAGGCCCTGATCCATCTCCTGATGGAAGCTGTTGGGTACAACAGTTTTCTGCTAACCAAATGTTGTCTATACAAAATCATTTCAGTTTTGTATTGATGTGATTTTAAACTTTCCTACCGACAGGGTTTGTAACTGTAGAACTGATATTTCAGGACTATGTAACTGTTGTTTGTGAGTGTGTGTAATAGGTGCACGCGCCCACACACACACATACACAAGCACGTGTGTGCGTGTATATATACAAATTAGTTACCAGTGAGGTCTCTTTCCATGTTCTCTATGTGGTAGAAGCAGACTGCAGTTACCTAATCTAGTTCTTTCTCTGTTTTGGGGACTCTTAGACCAGTTTTTAATTTTTTCCTTGTTTTGAAAGGAATGATGTTTTTTAAAAAGTTGGGGTTGGAGCTAGGGGGAAGGGATCGGGGCATGACAAAGAAAAACCACAACCTTTTTAGTACTGAATTTTAAAAAGACATTCTCAAACATGAGCAGTTACCACTAGGGCTAACTGTGGGCAGGCTCTGCATTGCTGAAGATAAATTTAGGGCAAGGATTCATTATACTAGCAGCATTATCTTGCTTGTAAAACAACGAGATACGTTTTTTTAAAGAAATGGTATTTGCATATCTTTTTAAATGTCATTTTTAAAAATAAATAAACCACCAGCTAGGATTTGACACAGGCCACTTAGAACTTACCCCTGATACTGGCGTAACCAATCCAGAAAGATTTGTTGTTGTATTTTTGTTTTTTGGGTTTTTTTAATATTTAAAAAAAGGCTACTTTTCTGTATGATGTGCATGCAAATTTACCGTAACTCTTTTTCTTAAAACTTTTTAGTGCCATTTCTAGTATATTCCTGTAAATGTCAGTTACTGAAAAGAGTCAATGTAAGTAGTTTAGCTTGTTTATTGCAAATTGCTGGCCTCAAACACAACAGAATTTAAAAAAAGAGTTAGAAAGTAATCTTTGATGTTACTGGTAATCATGGACCCTGGTCCTGGGGCATTTGTTTTGTTTTCATAATAAAAAGAAAAATTGTTTTGTGTGTGCAGTTTGATCCCGTATTTTCCCCTCTCCTCTCCCCTTCCCTTTCCTCATCCTCTTTTTCAGGCGTTTCTCTTGCTCCAGTTGAGAACTGGTAGGGCTTTGATTGAGCAGTCAGTTGAGTAGGATTGCCAAGAGACAAAGATAAATACAGAGAGACCTAATGCCATGAGTACTGAAATAATTTGGAAGTCAATTTACAAGTCTGGCTGTTAGTACTAACGGGGGAAACTGCCTTCAGAGCAGGGAGCAAGTCTGTGGCACTGCCAGCTTGGCCTGGGGTCCCCGAATTGCAGGTCAGTACCTGGAGTAAAGGTGCTCTGAATACACCTTTCCATTGGGGAAGGAGACACTCAGGGTGCTTTAATGTACCAGGACAGCCAAGGAAGGACTTTTCCTAGAAGCCCACAGTCTGAAGGGGTCTTAGATTATGTAAGAATTGTGTCTGATTGAGGTATGTTCAGCTGAAAAAAAAAGAAAATGGACATTTCACCCTGGTTTAATGCTGACTACTTTGAAGCCACCAGCACCTGAGGGACTTTCTCACCAACACTGGCAGCAGCACCCGCTCCACCAGCCGGTGCTGGCCCTGCAGCTCACTGAGCCCAGGGTGACCGGGATGTGGAGGGCACCTCTGGGAAAGGGGGGGCCCCGAGGAGCTGGTCACAGTCCCAGCGGAGTCCTGACATTACTGTATGGTGGCCAAAATCTATTTTGGTCACTGGAGAGGATTCAGGTTGGCTTTGCTGTTAGGTTTCTCAGACGCATGCCTGATGGTTTATTTATAAGTTAAGGGTTACAACCACCAGGTTTCCCCAGGGTTAATCTTTCCCTAACTCTGTTCCTGCTCACTGGGTTTAAAAGCCATGATCTCTAAGGTTTCAGCAAACCTGTTTTGCTTAGCTGTTTTATCAGTGAAGGTGTTTGTTGTATCAATGATACCCCCAAAGGAAATGTTTGTTCAACCTATCCTTTAAAAACCTCCTGCGAGGCAGTTGTGAGGCTCCTGCAGTTGCCTCACAGGAGGATGGGGTTTTTTTTAGCACTTACTAGTGAGTTATTTCTAGGTGCATCAAGCAGTGCTGCTTCTTCCAGACTTGGAGGAGGATGAGGAGAGGCAGAATGCAGTTGAGGTTTGGCCGACGCCGGTATCCGTGTTGATAGTGGTTATTGCGTGTGTGACATCCCGAGGCTGCCCTCGTCCCCCAGCGCACCCCTGAGACTCAGCAAGGGCTGTTGGGAACCTGGAGGAGCCTCCTCCACACATGGCTGATCTTCGCAGGTAAAATGGTGTGAATCTGGGGAGGGAGGTTACCCACAGCCCCGCCAGTAACTGAGGTTAATTCCCAACTGGGAGGAACTGCCTGTCTGCTGAGCTTTCCCTCTTCTGCCTGGGTGGGGATTGGGAGTGATAATAGCTGTAATCCTCACATGTGCCAGAGTGATTAACACACAGAAGAAAAACAGCTGCTCACGATGATGCATTCAAATCATTTTAATGCACTTTATCAAAGAGGCTACAACAGCATTTTAACCAAGTGCATCAACACTACACAACTGGCTTACAGAAATGCTCGCTCATAGCAGCCACTCCACAAACCTGCTGTGACTAATAAGGACACACAGATAGGGAAAAAAATACAGTCACATTCACAGAGAGAGGGGAAGAACAAGTCACGCTCTTCCTGTACTGTCATACCCAGGCTCAAGCCTGGAAGAATTTATGCACATACTTCAGTTTTTATTCTCGTATAGTCCAATTAACACTCTTCAAATAACTCAATTTTGGTTTACCAGCCACATAAACAAAAAGAGACTGATTATACCCGAGATAATCAAATAAACTTTCTTACTGAAATTAAAATAAAAGAAAACCTATGTTTTTTTCTATAAGAAAAGAAAATGAACAGCTGGCTTTGGGGATGTGCTGTTCCTTAAACTCCCAGAGTTCGCATGCTCCCCGTGGCTGCTGGAAAGGCCCCGAGTCCCCCTCTCCTGCCTCTCCAGGTCTTTTCTCCCTGTGCAGTTTTCAGGGGAGCTCTTAACCCAGCCTCCTCCCCTTTGTATAAATAATCATAAATAATCACCCGTCTGCTGAGCTGAGAACTGGAGCCCTGGGTGGGTCACACGTCCCCATGATGCTCTACCTTAAACAGCACGCTGGGTGCAGGAGCATCACCACTGCTGCCGGCACCTTTCTGAGTCTCGTTAGTTTTGTGAATCTTGTTAAATGCTTTTTCCCCAAGTTGAAAAACATTTATTCACCAAAATATTTCCCATCCAGAGCTAGTCCTGGCAAGATGAAGGGAATCATGGAAGGGTGCAGAGCAGTTCACAGGTCTGCGAAGCACTGAGGGCCATCAGCAGGTTTAGTTTTATGAGCACATGTGTAAGGTACCAAACATCAACACATGCATAAATAGTACTTTTTTTAAAAAAAAAAAAAAAAAAAAAAACACAACAAAACAGCTGCCTATGGCTTGTAGTGCATACACGTGCTACGGATCAGGGCTGAGTCCATCAAACCTCTACAATCTCGTGTTAAAACAGGGATGTTCTGCTCAGCAAACTTGACTCTGTTGTAGGATTTAACCCACATGGGAGAGGTGGAAGAGATTCTTCACTGTATTAAAATAAAGTGCTTGAAAAATGCAGAAGAGGTTTTAGATAAATATTAACAGAAGTAATGACTGTGCCTAGGCACAGGTAAATAATCCATACTGAAGTCAGCATCAAATACTGATTTGCTTGAAGTTAAGCCTATACCTAAATGCTGCTGGATTAGGCACACAGGGCTGCAGGAGGACGTCCTAGGCAGGGAGGGCACAAGGGGAGTCTATGACTTAAGCTCAACGTTATACTTCAGTGCTGAACCCTGGGCACGTAATTAGCACCCTGGAAGTGGTACCGCTTTGTTTTTAATAAAGGTTTAGGTGCTTGCTGGGTTGAGTTTCTCAGCTTGATCTTGCCTTGAGCAAGTCAGATTCAGCTCTAACGGCAACAACCTGAAAACAATTTCTATTCCCATTAAGTGCACCTGTATTTTTCACTCCTAAAATGCTTCAGTTAGTTGAAACAAACACTCCCAGACACAACTTTTAAAATACATGCACCAAATCTACTATCCAACCCGAATTAGAAGATAAACCCTTCCAAGCTACTGCATGCATTAAAACCTAAATGCAGAGCAAACTTCAGTAGACCCTTTTCTTCCGTAACGGATCTCGGGGACAGGTATGTACTGTGCAGGGGTTTTCTTACAGGATAAATCTCCTTAGCAGGAGATGTATTTACAGGAGCTTTCTTCCTGTTGCTCTGCTGGGCCTGTCCCTCCTCAGATTGTTCAAAAGGTGATCCGGTCCCAAAGCGTGGGCTGGGGAATATACCTGCATGGAAGGAGTCGGCTCCACCAGCTCCCAAAGTCCGGTCAGTTATTTCCACGATACCGAACTGTGGCATCAGAGAGGGCCCTTTGCTCTGCACAGGGTGAAGCTGCAGCCCACCTTTCCTGCCGAGTTTCGAAGGCTCAGATGAAATTCTCTGTACAATCTTCCCTTCCCCCCACCGCCCCCCCAATAAATCCCTTCGTTACCTGGTTGTAAGAGACCACTTCCAACAGTGATTAAAGGGAGGCAGAGCAAGCAGGACAAGCGATGGCCCGGTATTTTTGCAGATCACCTTCCTGAAATACCAGCCTGAATGGAAACGGATCTGCTCTGGCCTCTCTCCCCCCAGCACCCACAGAGCTTTGGCAGTGCGTAAGGACTAGCAGGTAGAAGTGCCTGCTGGGGATGGCTCCCAAATGCCAGCGGGTGTTTCTCGTGGTACACAAGCCACTCACAAGCAACACATGGTCCAGCACAGACCCTGCCAAGATGCCAGGCAGCAAGCACAGGCTCACAAGTTCCTGAGCGAGGCTGGTTTTGATACACGCACTCAACAACATGCAAAATCTGATGCTACCGACAGCGAAAAGAAACGTAAACTTCAGACAGCCCTTCTGGCTTAATCCCCTGGACGTCGCCTTAGCCACAGGGCTGTCGTGAGGATGCTGCAAACCCATCTCCCCCAGCTCGCTGAGAGTCCGGTTTGCCCCTCCGCGTGTGGATTTCTAATGCAAACCCACCGAAACTACATAATAGCACAAAACTTGGATTGCCCCGTGTCCCTGGAGACATCCAGCTTGTTTTTGTCCCGCACTAGGATGGCTTCGTTCCCGTACTGAGAGTACCACATGCTCCGACTCCGGCTCAGGTAAGTGTTGGGGGGGGCTGACTCCAGCTTCTGCTGCTGCTGCTGCCAGATGAGCAGAGAGGTGTCCCTGTACCGCAGCCGGGCGTAGCCCTCCGACAAGGCTTTTTCGGGCAGGGGCACCCTCCCATTCATTACTTTGTCAGTCATCTGCTCCAGGATGGCACCAAAGCCGAGAGCTCCTTCCCAGCAGCTCCAAAATACACCCCGATGGGTCGGTCCGGGGCTGCTGCTGCTGTTTTGAGCTTAAGGGAGAACATCCCCAGGTGGGGGGGGGACGACCCTCAGCCGCTGTGAGCACTGCTCAGGAGAGGGAGCGGGGATACGCGCGCCCAAAAATCACAACTGGCACCCTGGACTTGCTTAAATAACAAGCCAGGACTTCCAAAAGCTTATCCAGGGGTGACGCCGCTCTGTGTTTCATCTCGCGAAGGGACAACGTGCACGGGAGCTGTTTGCTGTCGGGAGCCCACGAAGTGCCTCACCGGGGTGACCCCGGGGTGCCGGGCTCGCTCCGCGGCCGCGCAAGGACGGGCCCAAGGGCTCTGGATGCGTTTTGCTTCCCTGAAGGACGGATCCCGAGGCCGTTAAGTTAGACCTACGAGGTCAGGCCTAAGAGGTCACCAGCGTCCAGGCCTGTCGTGTGAACTCTCCATCCGTGCCTCTGGCTGAGCCTGCCGTGACGGGAGCTCCGCGAGTCTCGGCCCCGGGGATGCAGGAGATGCTGCCGCCAGCCGCGGTTATGGTGCCCGGC